CACAACCTAAACGCGAACGTAAGTTATTTAAGCGATGCATTTGTATGGGCGATTGGCCATACGTTTAGGTTTGCGTTTCGATTTTATGTGCTAGCTTAACCTCACTAATATCGATACGAGGGGAATACAAATTTGATCTAGCTCAATACAAAGTTGTCATATCCAGATTGAGATTAAGACTGGGGACTTAAAGCGTAACGCATATCGTTTAGCAAATCGAACGCTCGTTTCTGGTGTTGCTCACCGTTTAGTATAAATAGCCTTATCCCGAACTAATACTCAAGGGTAGTAGTCAGGTTTGAGAGCGTTGTGTAAACGCCTCTGCCTGTTTATGTTGCATAATTCACGATGTCAATGTTGACAAAATCATTGTAAACGGATTATTTTATCTCCATAATAAACTGAAATTTAAAAAACTCCCCTTATTTCTTAAAAATGGACTGATCCAGTTAACTCGTCTGGAGCCACCATATTGATTTTGTACGGGAAACTCATTGTAACCCTTTAAGCCTAAGTGTAGGTCTTTGCATACCTGTTTGTTTCGGTAACCAACAGATTCCAGAATTCTAATGTGAAAAACAGGTTGAAGAAGTCTATAGGATCCTTTAACCCTTCTACAGGTGGAATCACCCCTACATTTTCTTGAAAACGCCCCTGCCTGACTGGGGGCCCTGGTTCATGCTCCACACGCATCCATTCTTCCTCCTCATTTTCATCATCGTCATCATCATCAACATCAACATCATCATCGTCATCATCACCATTTTCAGATCCAGAATCTATGCTATGCTCTTCCTCGATATCGCTGATACCACTTTCATTGTCATCTGCAACCTCATCTTCATCCCGTATATCTTCGCCAAGATCTAAATATTCTATAAGATCCATCTTGTTTTTCGAAATGAATTCTGGGAAGTGAGGGCGTTGCCCTGTATGACATCACTTTTTAGTGGAAAAAAGCCGCGAAAAGTTTGAAAAGTTTGAAACTAATTTTAAATTATTTAGTGTAAAATATGCATGCAAAATAGACATAGACAAACAGAAATATTAAATGCCCGTTGAAGAAAGTTTTCACCTTTACGCACCAATTACTTCCACATTCTCAGTATTATTTGTTTCACAAATAAACCCACTAACAGGACCCAGACAAGGACCTTTAAATTGGACAGGCAATTAATAATCTGCACCGAACGAAACATTTCCCCGGGGTTATGGAACTCGGCTATGCCAAAGAAAGAATGGACAAAGAGTGTAAGGGCACGAAATAAATGGTTGGCAGCAGGGTATTATTTCAATACTAATATACTTTTGAGACATATAAGACCTATATTGAACGCTGGGTCCTATAGTCCCTAAGTTCTCTACTTTTTGTTCTTCATTTGGTTCAATTTCAAGTAACAAATACGAAGATAAAAGGTAGATAAAACAATCAGATTAGTTGCCACTTTCTACTTCAACGTCAGTTTTTCAGATTTTACAGCTCGGGAGTAGTCAAACTACATATATACTATCAGACTATACTCAAAGGGCTTCGTTTTCTGCACTGAACAAATTTCTAATAAAATATATCGTTTTGTGTTTTATGTGAAAATTAAAAGTTTTAAGAACTTTCATTTCCTTTCGGTAAACTCTATAAAACAACACATACAAAAGAAACATTTTATTTGTAAAATCGTATACAATAAGTTGACTATGAATTAACATACAATGTATAGTGTATGATCCTGTTCATCGCTGTATCATCTGAACATTGTGTACAGCAGTTGGACTGTCTCTTTAAAAAATGTCCGCAACTGTAAACTATAGGCATTATCAAAATCCATTCGGCCTACGGCTTTAAAGTGCTGTCTGCAAACTCGAAATTTCGCACGAGTGTGTGCGTTTTTTCCAAGTTTTCCCATTTTTCTGCCCGTAAACCACCCATACGAGCTTGTACGGTCAGTTGTGACCCAGGCTTTACATACAACGTCTCACACTGCACTGGTATAGAAAATCAAATATCGTGTATTTCAATCATTTATGACAGGAATCCTAATCGAACCTCCTATTCACGAAATAATACCATGTGGGCCTAAATGTTGTCTATTTACAGTTTTTTGAAATATGCGCAATGGGTTTAATTAAGTAAATGATAACAGATAAGTAAGCATCATTTTCTGAACGCAGATATGTTTTAAGGGAAACGCGTAATGTTCCTCCTTACATTCATTATCCGAAAAATAACACAACGTCTTCATAACGTAGTAGGTTAAGGTAAAAGCATACGCATTGATATTACTTTACGATTTCAATCTAAGTACAAAAAGATCGCATAATTATTTTCTTTTGTTTTCTGTTAATTTATACATGTATTTTTGGCATATTTTAATGAGTTATTCTATTATTTATCTATGCATTAACATATTAGTCAGCGTCTCAGAAACGCTGCTTTGATATTGGAAATCAACTTTTAAACTAACAGTGACAAAAAGTTTGTATATCAATAGTGTCTCGCTCAAATTTATTCACTTTTATTATGTTTACAAAAAATTAGTTTTGGCCGATATTGGGCCGATTTCATATTGGACTTGGTTTAATGTGTTTTTCTTGTGTATAAGACGGTACCAGCGTCTCGGATGTGCGTGAAAAATTAGAGTTACAAACCAGATGCACCATCGTCTGTTACTTACAAGACCTAATAGTGAAAACGTTTTTTCATGAAACTGAATTTCGTTAGGATATTTCTGACCTACAAAACAACAGTTTTGGGCCGATTTCTTGGCAATATAGCGCCATTGTTTTTGCCATCGGCCCAATCGGCCCTATGGCAGTAAAAGGGTTAATAGATAAAGAGTAAATTGTAAAAATACGGAGGAGTGAACGATTTGGGGCAACGAAGGGGATTGATGGAACGATTATTGGAAACAGCTAACATAAACTAAGTTCCTAGAAGATATAATTTTGAGAGGGTTGAGCGGGTCCCCTCCCATACCCATCAAAATAGAATTTAGAAATATATCTTGGGATAGAAATAAACTACTCAAATAAATGGATGTTGGGTCTATTAAATCATTTAAACACAACAATTTTATTTTATTTAATCTTTGTTTTTATTATTAACTCCACGGACAGTCGTAAATCAATTAAATACCATTTCAACCAGCCTATGTTTGCTTTATTTGTTACAGTAAAGCTGCTAACACACTGCTATCCTAAATGCGATTGCTATTGCTACGCGATTGCGATATCTTGTCATTGTGAATACCGTGCCAAAATTGCGATGTCGCAATCGCATAGCAATAGCAATCGCATTTAAATTGCGATGCTTTGTGAATAAGGCCTCTGCTTAGTAGCTGAATGCCACTTGAACTAAGTTGTTCCTGCTGCCATCGTTGACAGGGGCATCAAACCTGTTGAGCTCATCATCATCCTCATTATCGATAGGTTCATTATCCTCGTCATCTAGCTGTTCGTCATCGAGAACAGGAATGTTTGCTAGCGTTGCTAAATTATGAACAACCACGCATGCCACTATAGTGTCGCATGCCTTTGGAGGCGAAAAGGGCAACCCCCTTGATTTATGTAAGCACCTCGTACGGTTTTTAAGTATTCCATTGATTTGCTCAATAACGTACCGTGTGCATTTGTGCTTCCTATTGTAGCGGCTTTGGAACCTTGTGAGGTTTCCATCATCCCTAATAGGCGTCATCATTTTGTCATGCTGAGCATACCCCGAAACGCCCAACAAGTACCCTTTGTTGATATAAGTTGGTCCATTTAACTCGTTGGCCAGTCCGGACTGCTGGTAAATGGTGTTGTCGTGAGCCCGACCTGGCCATCGTGCACTTACATATGCGATGGTATGCCTCGACCCGCCGATAAGCATAGTGTTTATGGAGTGCCATCCTTTACGATTAACGTACGCTGCCTCGTCGTCACCAAGGTTTGCGTTTGTTAACAGCATATGCACCCCGTCGATCGGTCCAAGCACACCTGGGAATTCGGCGAATGAGTACCAGTATTCATGCGCCTACAATGAGAATTTATGTTGAACTTCATTGATATTTAGAGAACAGTTTAGTATCCAAAATGTTTGAAAACTTGTTAATTAAAAATAAAAATAAAGTGCTTGGATTGGGTGAGGCAACAATAAACCGGCGTGATTTTATTTTCATACTGGGTATTTCATCCGACGATTTGGGTTTTTCAGTATTGACTTATTATTATAAAAGCCGTACCTCTTGAATCTCTTGCTCCGAATTCAGGAATCTAATATGTGTTGGAGCTATAGTTACCAAGCCAGAAATCACATCAGTCACTGCCCGAGCAACACTTGATGCACTCACTCCCATGGCATCCCCCACAGACGTAAAATGGTCCACCATTTTTGACAACGACGGTATCTGACTTTACCGTTGTCGGGATGTTCCAGTATGACTGTTAGCACATGTACCTGAATTATAAGAGACAGATTTCTGGGATCGGTGGTTTTTCTTTCCCAGCGATCCCCAATGGCCTTCTCCAAATAAAAAATCTTTGCTGAGCCGAAAGCGCTTTACGCATTCATCTTCCTCGAATCTATTCAAGAATTCAACAGTGTTTGTCCTTGATAAAGGTTTGTATATGGAATCCCTCTTCAACCTCCGTCTTTCTCGAATGATTGCGTTAAACCTCAGCATACCTGTCGTATGGTCATCCCAAGGCAGAGTACCTGCGTTCCGCTATTTTGATTACGTCAATGAGACCCGGATTGCGATATACGGAAAATCGTAAATTTAGGACAGGTAAATAGGTGTCCTAGAAATATACGGAATAATCGTAAATTTACCATGTTTTATAAATATACGGAAAAGTTCAGATTTGGCTTTATCTAGATATAAGACAAATCCGTAAATTAACAATTGAATTAACGATACGGAAAAGTTCAGATTCGGATTCCAGTATAGGGGTAGGGTAGAGTGAAAATATTCATAAAAGTCACATTCATATCGTGTATAATATGTTCAATCAAAAGTACGTACACTTCTTCCAATAGTTCCTCCAGGAGGTCAACCTGTTTTTTTCCCAGATCTATAGCGTTCTGTGTTGCGTCTACTCTATGTTTCTCTGAAAAAAAACGAACATGTAATGTTACATCACCGAATTTAAATAAATATGACTTTATCTATGATACTATTGATGGACTGCTGAGTGAAATGGTGTATATATCGCTGCTCTAGTACTATAATGTTCTAACTACCATTTTTATAAAATATCAAATCAGTTCACTTCCCTCCTAAGTTCTAACTGCCCTCTAAATATCAGTATCTTACATGCATAATGTTCCAAGTGCTATTTAACATTGGCCCCTTGCTTTTATAATGTTCCATGTTCTGTTCTGTCCAATGAAAATGCTCAGATTCTGTCATGTGACTTGCAAAGAAAATGATGGATATTGTAAAAGTGAGTCTTCTTATTTTTCTCAATTCATTTAATTTCTCTAATATTACAAAATGATTTGTTCATTTGATGAATCCTAAATTATCATAAAAGACAATTGTATGTATTGCTGTGTTATTTTAATGGAAATCTATCAAATAGTTACATTATTAGGTATCATAAAATTGACATTTTGGAGATAGAACCTTAGTGCATAACAGATCCATCTAGATTTTAATTGATGCCTAGAGGTAATTTTCTCTTTATGTCAAAACCAATTCATAAATGGTTTTTAACAGTTATTATAAACTCTTGATCAACCATAATGGGTGGGGGAGGGGCTTGGCTGCTTCATAATCTGAGAATAAGCATCTAGGGGGTTATCATCAATTTTAACAGATGTTCTATGTCCATTTTATTAACAGCTTGATCACAATCCGGTGCGAAAATGTTCTATCTCCATATACCAGATTTTTAAAAAATGAACAAGGGGAAACATTTCAGTCCATAGATTACTAATAACATAAAATGTAATGTCTCTGCCTAACATTGCCAACTTCGAGTCTATAAACCAATATAATTTGAATTAGCATATATATTTATTATGTTCAAGTTTCTATCCCTGTTTTCTCAAAACAGTGTTGGATGGATTTAGAATGATATAATACTAGAGCAGCGTATACAATCGAAGAAAACACAGAGGCTGAGCGATGCATGTAACATATAGAAATGTGATCATATTTAGTATTTACGTGTACGTTTATCATGAACAATCATGTTTGAAAAGTGATCGATATGACATATTATCCAGTATAACTAAAACTCACTCACTTGGTATTGGTTCAGAGGCTTGATGCACACCTGAAATTAACGAAGATAACAAAATATTCATATCATATTCTTGGAATGAACTTGCAAAAAAATTTCTATTTTGGACTATAGTATCATTCATGATACGGTATTGCAATCTAAGTGCAAACACAGTTCTCTCAGTATCTTGGTATACCCCACAATAATACGGTCTTAATATAGTCTTGGTACTTTGAGGACTGACACCATGGAATTCGGAAAACACATATATGTACAGAATGTATGAGGTTATGGAAACTTACTTCTCTTAGGATGTCCCGCTTCCTCTACGTCCAACTGAATGCAGCTACCTGTGTAACAATACATAAAGAAAAATATTAATGGAAAACATTTACGAATGTTCAGAGTGTTAACACACGAGTTAGTCTATTTGGTAGTATTACATACCTAGCGAAGCATTTGTATGGAAGTCAATGGAGCTGAAGGTCGGCTATATATTCCTGTATAGCCGCCAAACTTTTTTACCATGACAACCTTATGACGTCATAACATGTAAACAAAGTGATTTAGACTGGAATCGTGTAAAATTTTGATCTTTTTTATGTATTTCAACATATTATCTTTATGAAATGTTATGTTAATGTACTTTAGGTATGTAATACATCAATTATGTCCGTATCATTGAATATATGCCTTCAGTCTGTCGTCAATATAACCCTCGCAAGCTCGGGCTATATTGACGTCAGACTTCAGGCATATATTCAATGATAGGGACATAATGGCTAAATATTGCTCAATGCTGAGATGTTTATGCAAATAAGATGAATACATAACATTAAACATTAATTGTTGTTTTTAATTTCTTAATCTACTATGCCGCTAATGTTATTAAGTTAACAAAGGCATACTTTTGTAATTATATCAATACCTAGGAATTATAAATAAATTGAAATTGAAAAAAATTATACAAAGTCTATAATGAAATGCACATTAAGGCGAATAATTACACGATAACCATCAGCATCCTAGGTGCAAGGTTGTTTTATATATGAATTTAAGAATAAATGAAGTCCTTTGAAGAAGGATGACTATCAGACTTATGCGGTCGACTCATGAAAATTGTAACTCTTTCAATCAGATGAGCTCAGATAACAAAATTCTCCTCATAATATCAGAGCTACAGTACTGATCATGCCTGAAATCACATCGGCACGCGCCTAGGCGCGAGCGATCGGCCCGCCGAGATGTCGCCGGTAGGCTCGCCGATCGGCATGCCTTTCGGCTCGCTGAGTGACCATCGACGCGTCTATCGGCGTTTAATTTGAACTCCCAGTCGGCGGGATCGATCGGCACACACTGTACTGTACTAAACATACTGTATGAACAGATCTCCGATCGGCATTGAAACAACGTAAAAATACTTTCAGCGGTATGAGTGATAAAATATAATAATAAACAAACTGATGATTAAACTAAATACTTATATAGGTTTATGTCATTTTTGTTATTTCATCTGCATGTGTTATCGGACATTATTAGCTTATGATTAAAAACGTAATATTAATATCCATCGTGTTTTGGAATAATTGAAAAGATTTAATGGCGTTAATTTATTTTTATTTTGGAAAGTATCCGGGGGCTGGGGGGATAGCAAGAGCCAAAATTTGACGAAGTAAGTTTTCAGTCGTATATTTTTTAAAAGAAAATGAACAATTCAGTCTCTCCGCAATCTGTTTTCAAATACGAGTTAAATAAAACAGTATCACGGCTGTGGTCGAAATATTTGTCACCTGCGGGGAGCATGTTATTTTTCATAAAAAAACACACAAATCATATATTTGTTATACGAAAAAAACTACCTTTGGATCACAAAACCAGTGAGTACAATATTGATATTTTTAGATCTGATGCAATGATCATAAATTGTGATTCAAGTCAGTTAATTTAAAAGCAGAAAAGAGATGAGAAATTGTATCAAACATGTCCGACTTCCTTACCAATATTATTTTTTAATTGAGGATAAGGGCTCCCCCTAATCAACAATCTGACTTTGATGGCTCGAAATCTGTAAATCTGTAAATCGAGAGCCATGTAGCAGTTAAAAGAGAAAAGCCCATTAGAGTTGAATAAATACATATCAATGAATTATCTGTTCATAATAGTTTTAATATATTTATTCTAATAGGCTAATTGACACTTAAACATGCATTTAATTAATGCGTTGTGTTTGGGATTCATAATATTACTAAATACAGTATCTAAAATTGATTATATGAAGTGCACCTGTTATTTTTACATTAAAGATGATCTGTTTTATTAGTCGCAACAAAACTTTTTTAAGTACATGTAGTATATCGTACATCAGTGAAGAAGCTACGGCTACCCGTTTTATGTGCAGTATGGCAATTCTTGAAATACTTGTATTTATTATGAATTACATTAGTCCTAAATACACATTTCGTTCAATAAGAAACACATAAAAAACGTTCAATACATTATCTATCACGCCCAGCGATCGGACAAAATGAACAGAGGAGGGGGGTCAGCCCATTTTTGATAGAAAATTCAACAAATCTTCAACCCCACCCCCTCCGATCCGTTCATATTTTCCGATCACCAGGTGCGTCTACAGGTGAATAAAAACAACGTATTGCAAAAACTGTATTGTTATATTAAGATCTAGGAGTATTATAAGTGTTCGAACGCGGGATTTCTAAAATGCCACCAGACTACTGACTCTATAAAATACGCTTCACTACTAATTATTGAGCCGTTCAGTGAACCAGATTTGGAATCAATAGTTGTAGTCTGTGATAAAATGAACTTGGTACACGTTACTTGAATTTCTATCAACTCATTTTTATGAACAGAGATGGTCAAACGCTATATTCTATTGACAACGTAACATTCATTTGTCATCGTGACCTGCAGGTCATGACAACCATCAACATGCAATGGTGTATGTTTACAAAAAAATTGAAACCAGGAGTTTTATTTAGACGGGACTTCCCCTTTTTATGTCACCACCAAAAGTGGTCACATATTGTTTAAGTCTCCAACTTTTTTGTGTACGGTGTTTAGCGTCTGGGGTCGGCGTTCAGCGTCTGTAACAAATGGCGGGTGGTGACATTTTTCATGTTTATGCCTTGTTTAATATTTAAGGCTCCAAATGAACTGATATCATCATGATGTTATTCTTATTATATCATTCTGTTTTGCAGGTGCCAATGAGTATGACACACAAGCAGTGACAATTGAGATTTCAAGTCCAGTTTGAAGAACAATACGCCGTTCTTCAAGTTATAGCCCAGGGAGTTCAAGTTTATACATCTTGCCTCAAGTAAAGTGTTAGCCCTTAAAGACAGGACCGTAGCCAGGGAGTGTCCGGGGGTCGGAGTTTTCACCATTTTTAGCAATTTTCAAATGATTTTGGTCATTTTTTGGTCAGAGTTGTCAAAAGTGAACCCCTTGGAATTTCTTTAAAAGTGAACTCACTCTCTTGATACATCCTGACAGTGGGCCTGAAAGGTTTATCCCATATTGTATTGGGGAAATGGCACAGTTGCTTGATGCAAGAGTAAAACTTTGAAATAACCATAGATAATATTACAATAGATAAAAGTTTGGCATGCATTATTTTTTCGTTTCATTATTAGATTTGAGAGCAGGTAGACGTATACAGCAGTGCAGTGAATTATGTTTGTATTTTAAGAAGTTGTTTTTCAGGTCTTACCAGCGATGATTGCAGGCATGAATACACTTAAAATATATTTTCTAACATATTCCTCCAGTAAATACACCCGTTTGCATGTTTTAAATAAGCCGTAAATAAAATGTTTAAACTTAAACATGGTCAAATGCATGTTATGTAACATGGTTACATGTTAGCAATAGCATGGTCTATAAACTACAACGACCGTCAACCTGTTTAAGTTTTGATTTGTTTTGTTGAAATTAGATTAAGAAATTAGTCTTTCAAATATCACCAGTGTCTTTAGGGTTGAGGTTTCACGTCGGTTTAAATTAGAATAATTCTTTACTATCTGGTTTTGTTTGCTTCATTGTGAAATGTTCATCGAATTGTTATTTTTCGAATCATTTCCATTTCGTTACATAAGTTATTTGGAATAAACTCAATTTCAGCTAAAATGCAGGGTAGTGCATGGCTGTTTTTGAAACTTCAAAATTTTATTTTGACGTTTTGTTGCTTATCACCGTATTTATTATGAGCACAAGTTTTTATGTTTGTTTATTTGTTTTTATTTCTTATACAAATACAAGTAAGTTATACATTGCAAGTCACACCCGTAGCAAACCCTGCATTGCCTTACAAAGTTTACATGAGCAGTTTCGAGAAACATTGGAATATGGGAGGGGTTCAAGAAGAGACCCGGTGTAAAAGGGTAGGAGGTCCAGACAGTATCTGTTGGAATGTTATATATTTCCCTATCCAACATATGATAGGCGTATGCATGAGTGGAGGGTTGGGGAAATAGGGCCTCGTGAGAGATACATGTACTTGACAGTCAGTAATTGTTTACACCCCTCCCCCTTCCTTGAAATGCTGAACTAATGTGCTTTTTGTTCATTGAAACAATACGAAATCAAAATTATCTAGTTTCCTAATTACAATAAAAACAAACGGCTGATTAGAAGATTACAGTGACTGTTTCCCGTCATTACATAACAATGTTGATGGTGGGCAAAGGAAATCGAGTCTGTATTGATCTAGTTAATAAGCATGATACGTGATTATAAACGTAGAGTAAAGGAAATGACAGGAAATTTTTTAGAATTCTCATTGTAATCAGAACTATGTGAATTTATACCATTCGCTCAGACATGGGCTAAAACTTTGATTCTTTTCAGCCTAATATTCTATCCAACAACATTAAATGATCAAACTCAATTATTTAGTAAAACTTCAATAAGGGATCACGTGAATTTCGATACAGCGGTAAATGAAAGTTTTATGCTTATTATGCGGGAACTATGAAATATTAGATTTAATTACCTACGTACATGTAGGTACCGTATTCGGGGGGACATTTTATCCTTTTTAGATTCTATATCGATTTTGAATTTTTGCCCTCTGGCTATGAAATTTGTCTCTGATATGTATGTATTTCCCGAGAGAAAATGGGACATTTGCGGGGCCTGATGCAAGACTAGTTATCTGTTTTCCTGGCTTGTTTGAAATGGATAAACTTTGCAATGTCGTATGTTTCAATGAAGCCCATGTGGGAATGACAGCCTGTAGACCTAGAAATCCATATTTATATACTATAGATCGAGATAGAATAGTAATACAAAATATAGTATTCCATTTTCCAGTATCACACTAGACACCAACTTTTAAATACTAGTAACAGATTTAGAATTCCTATTTTAAAATCAAGAGTCAGTTTAATCAGGAATTATAAAT